TTACATAACCCTGGCTTACTCACAGTTCTCTGTATATACTCTTCCTTACACAGGAAGAAACATATGACACAGTTCTCTGTGTACAGACAGAAATACATACTTATACTTTATAAACAAAAGAGATAGTAAAGCCAAAATATTAATACCTACTTCTAAAAGTAGTAAGAATTTAAATATATCTTGTCCTACTTACCCTCCCTTTGTATTACGATTATCTTTTTTCTTTTTTAAATTATTATGGTAAGAAACACATAAAATTTACCGTCTTAACCATTTTTAAGTTGAGGAACATTTTAAAAAGTATAGGACCTCCCTGGTAGACCAGTGGGTAAGAATCCACCTTCCAATGAAGGGGACGTGGGTTCAACCCCTTGTCAGGGAACTAAGATCCCACAAATCCGCAAGCTGCACACCATTAAAATCCCTCAGGCTGCAACTAAGACCCAATACAGTCAAATAAACACTTTTTAAAAATGTAGTGAAAGGGTAAGTCTTATAAAATAGAAAATAAATTTTTTACAGAGGTTTATTCAGAATATGTCTATATTCTTTTGAATTTTGATTTTATTTTCTTACATGTCAGAAGAACTTGTTAATAATGAACAGGATAAATAAATTACTTTCATTCAAAATAAAAGCCACCAGGCTGTTAAACCCATGAATAGCCTTCTTCCTTCCATCCTTTTTTTATAACAACATCGAAGATGCTACAGAACATTCCAGAGCAAGTCATCTCGCACTCTTCTTTGAAATCCCACAGAGCAACTGAAGGAGTAAAAATAATAGCCAACATTCATTTATTCCTGAGGATTTAAGACTAATTTTTTAAAAAAGACTAATTCAAAGGATATCTACTCCATTCATAGGAGTTTGTTAAGCTAACCTGAATAGTTGCAACAGCTTCCCTGGTAGCTCAGCTGGTAAAGAATCTGCCTGCAATGCAGGAGACCCCGATTTGACCCCTGGGTTGGGAAGATCCCCTGGAGAAGGGAACGGCTACCCACTCCAGTATTCTGGCCTGGAGAATTCCACGGACTGTACAGTCCATGGGATTGCAAAGAGTCAGACACAACTGAGCATCTTTAAAAAAAGAAAAGAAAACAGTGCAGGAGAAAATCAGTATCCTCACTTCACCCTCAAAAGTATGTCTTTATCCTCAGTGGACTAAAGAGCCCAAAGGAAAAATACCTGGAACTCCACCAAACATGGCTACCAACTTAATGTACCTCCTGGCCTTCTGTCTCTATATGCACATTTTTTAAAAAGTGGTTGACTCACATGGTGATTGTAACCATTTGTCACCACTGAGCAATATGAACATTGAATACTTATGTTCTAAATCAAAATAACTCATTTTCTAGACATTTTCTTGACTTTTTTTTTTTTTTGCTGTTACTTAGGGTAACAGCAAAAAATAAAATAAAATAAAATAATACTGGGGAATACTGGGTTCTCCAGTATTCTTGCCTAGAGAATCCTGTGGACAGAGGAGTCTGGTGGGCTGCCGTCTATGGGGTTACACAGAGTCGGACACGACTGAAATGACTTAGCGTGATGGATGCATTGGAGAAAGAGATAGCAACCCATTCCAGAATTCTTGCCTGGAGAATCCCAGGGACAGAGGAGCCTGGTGGGCTGCCGTCTGTAGGGTTGGAGAGCTGGACACGACTGAAGTGACGCAGCAGCAGCAGGGCAGGATTTCCCAAGCTTGCCTGATAAGAATCAAGATCATCTGAGATGCTTAGGTAAGAAAGGAAAAAAGTTAAGAACTATTGTTTTTTTTCCCCTGTTGACTTAGAATCTCTGAGGAGTGGACCTGGAAATTCGAGGTGATTCTTCGGGAAACACTGAGGGTTGTAATAAGGAGTTAAGAGCATTTAACCTACATTTGTGATGATTTAATTTTGATGCAAGAATCACTGTATAATGTCTGTGTTCTAAGCCATGTATCTTGTATCCACCTAAGTATCAGAATCACATTTAGAACTAAGTGAGCTCATTATCATTATTGGATCTTGAAATCTTTTTAACCTGCAGAATCTTTCTTTTACCTGGAAACCCCACAGAACAGCAGGCATGGGTTTCTGATCATGAGAGCTGAAAGGAGTACTGCTCTAGTTCAGTGAGGATGTGGCCTCTCGGTTTGCCCCCCTTTCCAAGCAGTAAAGCTGAGGCATCATCTCAATGATTAAAGGGAATGATTTAAGGACTTTGGGCCTGGCCGTACACTGTTTAGAAAATCTCAAGCTGTTCTGTCTTCATTTTGCAGATGAGGAAATTTGAGTTTCAGAAACTGTGACTAGCCCAATAATTTGTGACAGATGAGCAATATTTCCTTGCTGAGATTTGGAACATACTACAATAGTACCAGCACCCAGTCTGTGGGGCGGGGTGTCATTTTTGCAAATATGTGCAGAAGCCAAGCATGTGCAAAACTGTTTATCTTTACAATTACTTATGCAAAATTTTCCACTACTTCCCCCTTTGTCCTTTCTCCATTTATCAGGTCTGTGGACTTGATTAATTTAACTTAGTCTGTATCTTTTCTTATCCACGAAATAGGGATCCTCATAGCATCTACCTCCATAGAGGTGTGAAGATTAAATAAAGTAATCCATGTAAAGTGACTAGAAGTACCTGGCACATAGGATGTGCTCAATACATTTTAGTGATTACTATCATATTCCATAGGACATCACAATGGCTATTGGCATCATGCTAATGCCAGATCATGCCTGACCTCTGTGGCAGGGACTGGAGTAGTGCCATCCACCAGCATGTGTTCTATGCATCAAATCAGGGTCAAATCCAGCACATTACCTATTTTTTGTAAATAAAATTTTACTGGAACATAGCTCTGCTCATTCATATTTGTATTGTTTGTGATCACTTGCACACCATGATGGCAAGGTAGTTGCGATGGAGAGAACATCATGGCCTATAAAACCTAAAATGTTTACTATGTGGCCCTTTAAGAAAAGGTTGTAGACCCCTGCATTCAACTTAAGAGTGCTTCAACTGTTCAACAAGTATGATTTATGTAAGATTAATTTGTAAAAAAAAAAAAAAAGTAGCAATTTTCCTTTATTTCATCAATAACTTGAAAATTTAATGGAAGATAAGATACTGTTCATGGTAGCAATAAAACCATTAAAGAATGCATAAAATCTTTAAGAAATTTAAAGAAACACTTAAAGGGTATTAAGGAAGTTCTGAATAAATGAAGAGTTACATCAGGACTCGGCTGGTGGTCCAGTGGCTAAGACTCTGTGCTCCCATGCAGGAGACCCAAGTTCTATCCCTGGTCAGGGAACTAGATCCCACATGCTGCAAATGAGAGTTCACACGCCACATCTAAGACTTGGAACAGCCAAATAAATAAAAACGGAGAGTTATGTTTCTGATGCTATAAAGAGGCCAGTTCTCCCCAAACTAATCAATAAGTTCAATGCAATTCAATTAACTTTAAGCAGGACTTTTCCCCCTTTCTTTCCTCCTCCCCCACTCAAATGCCCAGAAACCCATCAAACTCTGTCTAACATTTATATGGAAAAATAACTGTTGATGAAAATAGTCTAGTTGATAAAATGAGGGCCAAAGAGGAGAATATATATGAAAACCTTAGTACATATGAAGGAAGATACACTACAAACTCAATAATAAAAATTACTATACAGGAATATTCATAGATCAGTTTAAAGGATTAAAAAATAGACACATGTATATTAACATGACCTGAAATACAGCAGTGATGCCATGAAATAATGAGGAAAATGACTTTATTAGTTTAATAGAGTGTTGACAAACTGGCTCAGTTATATAGTAAAAAACTCCTATGGACCTTATACAAACTTACTCTTAAGATTTATTAAATGTGAAAATAAAACTATATGTTTAATAAGTTTGTGACCTTACAAAGGTCTCTTTAAAATCCCCAAGCACAATAAAGCAAAAAGAAATTTCTTTTGATGGATATCACTACATGTAGTGCTAAGTAACTTCCCTGGTGGCTTAGATGATAAAGAATCTGCCTGGAGTGCGGGAGACCTAGGTTCGATCCCTGGGTTGGGAAGATCCCCTGAAGAAAGGAATAACAACCCACTCCAGTATTCTTGCCTGGAGAATTCCATGGACATAGGAGCCTGGTGAGCTACAGTCTATGGGATTACAGAGTTGGACACGACTGAGCAACTAAAAAGTAAGTAACAAGCATCACTACATGAAAACTAAGGAAACCTCAAAACAATTATCAGTCAGATGAGATATATTAAGAGTCCAAAACCAATAAAGGATTAATAATTAAGCCACATGAGGAACTTAACGCTAATCAACAAAAAAGATCATGACTCAGTGAAAAATGGGCACTGAACAAAAAACACACCTGTTTCCTGTTAGATCAAAGTGTACTATTTTAAAGATTTGAACAGGCAATTTACAAAAAGGGAAATTCATAAGGCAGTGTTCAGTCTTACTAAGATTCAGAGAAATGCCAAATAGACTAAGACCTATTTCAAAACCATTCCATTACAAAGATTTTGGGAAGCTGGATGGTATCAATGCTGGTAAGGGTGTGGGTAGAACTGGTACTTTCATGCTTGTAGTGAAATTGTAGACTACTGCAGTTATTCTGGAGAGCAACCTGACAGTCCTGGTAAAATTAAATATGTGCCAGGGACTTAACATTCCAACTCTTTTCACGTACTCACTGAGGAAAGAGTGAAAAGTCAGCAAGGGAATTATGAACAAAGATTTTGAAATAGCAGAAATATTGGCACCAATCAGAATGGTTAAGTACAATGTGGTGGCTGTACACTAGGAAATATTATGTAATCATTAGAATAATTTACTAGAGGTACATCCTACAGAAAAAGTAATGTGTCCATTGTTGTTTTTGAACATAAAAAGATACCTTTTTCAAAGTTTAAGTTTTTACTATTAGTCTCATGATAGAAGACAAATTACCCAACTGCTTCTACTTAAGAAACAGACCAACTCTTATATCTGCTATTATATCAAGTCTTTATTAAGAAGTAAAGTGCTCAGTATTACACATTAATGAAATTCCCAATTATTGAGACTTACATATGTAACAGTTTCTTAATAGTACCAATATAGAGAGGAAGATGATAGGGGAGGGACGAGGTGGAAATTCTTCAGGACTAAAGAAGAAAAATGTGTAACTTATGGGTAAAAAGAAAGAACTTTGCAAATTTTTACAGGTGAAAAAACAGAATAATAATAAGTATCATAAAAAGACTTTCTAGTGACCATAATTGGTATATGGCACATGGTCAATACACATGGATACCACATAATAGCTGCACTTCAAATTGAAGCTTGTTTACATGTAACAACATGGTACACGTACATAAATACGTACACTCAATATCCCTGGAATGCAAATTTTAGTACCTAATAATAAAGAACTTTATTCAAAAAAATATTCAAAAGAAAGCAAAGATGGAGATGAGCCATAAGAAATAACTGTTAAAGAAACGCTACCTGTATCACTTCTGTAAAAGACAGCTAAAAAGGTTTTTTCGCTCATGTTTTCTTTGAAAACTTGACTGACAAAGTCTACCAGTTAAATAAGCAACTATGTGAATTTAAGCTATAGTATGAGAAACAGGTCTCTTTGCTATTCTCCAAGTGAGAATTATTCACCAGTGCATTCTCTCTTTGCTTGTCTCATTAGCTCTCAAAAGGTCACCATACATAACAATTTTGAAAAATAAGATTTTTAGTTTTTGTTAAGAAATAGATTTATTCCCCATAAATTTGGTGAGCCTCTCTCCTAATGAAAAAAAGAGAGGAAAAAAAACCCTGCAAACTCAAACTTTGGCTGATACCTTCTGATGATGGTTGAACTTTCAATAACCAAAACTCCTTTTCATTAAAATGAATCCCACTAAGAGTATTTGAGTTCTGTATTCTTAAAACAGTCTAAAACTCAAGTCTTAGATTTATAATATTTTATATGAATTTCAAATTTTCTTAATATTTTGTTTAAAATGAGCATATTTGCTGACTCAAAACTTTTGATACATCCTAAAAATTTTAGTAGGTTGATCTTCCTAGATTAGTTGCAAATAAGTTCAGCCACATGAGCAAAAGACTATACAGATAAATCTTTATACTACACTAATTATTAGGAAAACATCAAATTTAGTGATTTGGTGCCTTCGAATTCTTCTGTTATTGTCAGATATGACATATAACTCACAATTGATCTTTGATGGTTTCATGCAGCTCATTTTAAATGAGAGTGAAAATAGTGTAAAAATTAAGTGAAATGGTTAGTCCCACAGGCATTAGATATGATAAAATAACAGAAAAAATAGTGTTCAACATTTATCATAACCATTCATACAAATTCTAGCATAATGACTACATACCCATTCTATGGTTTGGGGTTCTTTCCCAATTAGTCTTTTAGAAAAGTGTACCCCAGGAAGGTAGTTAAAATAGAAGCCTCCTTTCTTAAAAGAAAGCTGTGCATTAAGCCTATGAGCTAAGCCTGAGTGGAAAGGAATGCCCCTATTTTCCCTTCACACACTTAGCAAAAATGACAATACTGATTTTCGTGATTGGAAGTAAAACTCAGAAGCCTTTTGACAGTTCTCTTCTAGCTTTAAAAGGCTACTTCATTGTCAACTGAGGAGACTCAGTCATGGTAACAAGTGGGCACACCACTCAATATACTTTACAAAGAATTGTTTTCCATACTCAATATTTACACCTGGATTTCTTATATGAGAAAAAGAAACATCTTCTTTGATCATGGGCAAAGTTTATCTAAAATAAATTAAAGTGCAGAAGAATTAATAATTGGTCACAAAGACCAGCATCATATGGTGGTCAGGGCATATAAATAGTGTACTTGTTATGGCAACTCAAGACAGGCACCTTCTCACCTATTAAGAACACATGTCCTACACATGAATATTGGCACTCCCGTTTCCACCTCCACCTTCCATTCCTTCTGTAGACTGGGAGGAAGAAGGGCGAGAGCTCCTGGGGCGTGACTGACCATTTAGTCCTAAGGGTGTGCCTAAACCATGACTTATTTGGGAAGCTGCATCGTCAGATTCCCAGCGTTCCAACTCTTCTCGCACAAGCCGTTCCATCTGTTCCCTGTGGATTTCATTGTCACGACCCAGCCTTTCATCCTAATGAAGGAAAAAGAAAACAAGATGTTGAGGTGGACTGATGTATACTCTTAATTTAGGAATTGCCTTTGGAAGTCTGGGGATCCAATAATCCCACTTAGGTAAGGCTAGAACAAAACCAGTCTTAACAGCAATTCTCAGAATCACTGGAGCAATTTTTTTTTTTTTGAGGAGGTTCCAGTGAAGGCAGTATCATCAGTGTGGAGAGTATTAAGAAAGCAACACCCCTGGATTATCACTTTATCTGCACTGATTTGCATGTATGGAGAAAAACATCCTCTTAGATTAAGGGTTACTTAAACTATGACCTTGATATTTTATAGAATCAGGGTGTTTCTGTTTCAAATGACCACTAACCTCAGCCACTCCATCCAGCAGCCTTCCCAGCACCTCCCTTCTCTTCAGTTTGGCTCGCTCCATGATCTCAAGCTTCACTATCACAGCATCAATCTTGGACACGATGCTGCCGATGGAGTGCTCCATCCGGTCCACTCGTCTCACTAGGCTGCAGGAAACCACAGTTGAGAGGGACAAAAACATCTTGTTGTTGTTGACTTAGCAGCCCAGTTGGTGTATCAAATGGAAATGCTAAGATTTTTTCCTTAATCAATATTATAATCTAAAACACTTTCTAAATAGTCTAGAACTTTAGAGATTTTTCATACACTGCTGGTGGGAATGCCAACTGGCACAATTCTTTTGCAAATCAGATTTTATCAGAAGTATGTCTACCATAGAAGGTATGCCTATCCTTTCTTTCAGATATTCCATTTTTTTCTGAAAAGTTTTTTTTTTTAACTTTTTATTTTATATTGGGGGAACTGCCAATGCTGGAGACAAGGGTTCAATCCCTGGGTCAGGAAGATCCCCTGGAGAAGGAAATGGCAACCCACTGCAGTATTCTTGCCTGGAGAATCCCATGGACAGAGGAGCCTGGTGGGTTATAGTCCATGGGGTCACAAAAAAGTCCAATACAATTTAGCAACTAAACAACAATAGGCAATTAACAATGTTGTGATAGTTTCAGGAGAACAAAGAAGGGATTCAGCCATACATATACATGTATCTATTCTCCCTGAAACGCTCTTCCTATCCAGGCTGTCCTTTGAGAAGTTTTAAAGGAAATAAGTATATGTGTAATTTCTGACTACAAGGATATTCTCTGGGGTTCTGCTTATTAATAGCAGGTCATTAAAATGGCTAAACATTTATAGAAGATTGCTTAAATATATTATTGTTTCTTTACACAATAAAATTCGAAGACACCAGAAATTATATTGTGACAGAATGTTTCATGCAATAGAATGGTGTTCACATTCTAATTATGAAATAGAATGACACTATTTATAATGTAAATAAAGCCGTTAGCAAACAGTATGCTCACTTATGATACCATTTTTTTGAATAAACACAATGTTATATAAATACTTTTAAAAAAGGAGACAAAACTTTTGGAATGGTAGCATGAGGGCTACCATTGAAACAACCTCTCCCCACTGAAACAACCATAACTGTTGAAAATTACTAATTTTTTAAAAAATTGCTGGAAATTTTCTTAAGGGCATAGAATAAGAAGCTTTTATTTTTTGAGTAATATCTGAACTACAATCTGCTCTCTCTCTCCAGCTCCCTAGCTCAGCATGACAGAGCTCTTCTAGGGGCGCATGCGTGCTCACTCACTCATGTCCAACTCTTGGTGACCCCATGGACTCAAATCCGAAAAGCTCCTCTGTCCATGGCATTCTCCAGACAAGAATACTGGAGTGGGTTGCCATGCTCTCCTCCAAGGGATTTTCCTGACTCAGGGATTGAACTTGTGTCTCCTGAATCAGCAAGGGGATTCTTTACCACCTCCAGGGATGGGTCAGCAAAGAACACCCAGTCCTCTCATGTCAGCTCCTATTGGAGGGCTATACTTATTTCCCAGGAAAGGTCAGGCTGTCAGTATTTCTCATCCCTGTACCTCCACCTCCAAATCTACACTGCAGAGACTCTAATTCAGACAAGAATGGCTGAAGAGTTGGGATTCTTTTCTTCCACTCAACTTCCAGCTGGAGGGTAGACTGTTCCATGCTCAGAAAGGTAAGCTGAGAACACCAAAGGCTCATGCCTTATTCATGAAGCAGGGGTGTCATTGTGAGAGAAATGGCCCATTAGCTCTGGAGCATGACACCAAGGTTTTGCCTGGAAGGAGAGTCAGGCCACAGAATGAAGCTCCAAAGCTTCCCCAAGTGAACTGGCTTTATCTGGAACAAAGTTTCGGGAAATTTAAGCCTAAGGGTGTTCTTGAAAACAATGGAGACTATGGTGATAAGCAGTTAAGACAAGGCTGGTCACTTCATGAGATCATCAAGTTAAACCATTTACCAGCTAGTTTACCAGAGAGAACCAGGAAAGAGAAGTCAGCCAAAGACTGGCTTCAAAAACTCCCCCTGAGAAGGCACCTGAATTTCACTGGATCAGACTGTGGAGCAATTTGTATCCCAAGGCATTGATGAAAATCACAGACCAATCAGCCAACAATTATGAGAACTGAAGGGGCAGATGGCTTAACAGAGGGACCAGGGGAAGAACTGCAAGTCCTGTCTCCCCAGGATAACTGTGTGCATGGTCCGGGCTGTGACCTCTGAGAAGTGACACTGTAGGTTCACAATGTGGGGGAACTAGACGTCACTAAAAGACAAATATACAAATGACAACAAAAACAAGCTCGGAGGGGAAGGGGAATTTATAAGTAATTTTTATATTATTTAACATCTCCAGTTTTCAAAAAAAATTATGAGACACACAAAGAAACATGAAAATGTGACCCAAACACAGTGGGAAAAAAAGCAGGCAACAGAAACTGCCTTTGAATGGGCCCAGATAGACTCAGTAGACAAAGCAGTCCACATAGCTATTATAAATATATCCAAAGAACTAAACTAAGTCATGTATAAAAATAAAAAATAAAGGGCACTGTGATGACACTGCCTCATCACATAGAAAATATCAACAAAGGAGAGAAATTGTTAAAAAAGAACTAAATAGAAATTCTGGAGTTGAAAAGAATAAGAAATGAAAAATTCCTATAATAAACAAATTACTTTCATCAAGAGAAAAGAACACCAATAATATTTATTAAAAAGAACTGATAATTAGTCATGGAAAAGACAAAATGAGAGCGGTGGGAGAAACTAGTGTCATTTTGACTCTTGTCTACTCAAGTGAATGAGTGAGTGAAAGTCGCTCAGCTGTATCTGACTCTTTGCCACCCCACACACTACACAGTCCATGGAATTCTCCAGGCCAGAATACTGGAATGGGTAGCCACGCCCTCCTCCAGAGGATCTTCCCAACCCAGGGATGAAACCCAGGTATCCCACATTGCAGGTGGATTCTTTACCAGCTGAGCCAAACAGGAAGCCCCTTGTCAACTCAAATTATCATTTTCTCAATACTTACACTTGAAACTCTTCATAAGAAACCCCACTGGAGACGCTGCCCCTCCTTCTGGAGCTATGCCCACTGTCGTCGTCATCCTCCTCCTCAGAGTCATCCAGGCTTCGAGGGAAACTTCGGCTGCTCATGGGACGTGGTAAAGAGCTGTGATCCAGGTCAAGGTCCTCCTGAACAACACGGGGTCACTGAGTGACGGGCAGGAACCCCTCGGCCCCACAGAAGCTTCATGGAGGACTGGGGCAAACGGGAGATGGGTGTGTGCATTCACCTAGGATTCCTGTGAGGTTAACACCAGACTGTGATCCTCACACTTTTTAATTTCATGTATTGGCAAATGTTCCAAATAGATTTTAATGACAAGCAAGAAGTTGCTAACTTCTTGTCTGGACAAGAAAGAACAGTAAAAATACAGAAAAGCAAAGAAAAAAGTAAATGAAGAAATATGTTTTCACCTTTTCATAAAAGTGAACACATGTAATAGCTACAGAAGTAAGGAAGGATACCATCTCAGAGTAAGAATTTTGACTAAATACAGCCATGTGAAACTATTATCCGTTGTCTTCTTGCTCATATTTCACTATGACTGGTGAAGTTTTTCCACTCACGGGCATTGTTTTGGGGAGCAGTATTTTGAAACCCCTGTTCTATATTGTCTCCTCACAGGAATTAACTTTTGTGTAACATTCATTTGTATTCTCTGTATTTCAATTAGCATGGATTTTCTGGGGTTTAACTATTTTTAAAGTTAATGTTAAAACTTTAAATTATTTTTCCTGATTATAAAAGCTCATGTAAGCTTATTTTGAACAGTTTCATAGTAAGTATTCAAATGGAAGGCAGTGGTTAGTTTTATTATACATGATAATTTAAAGAACAACTAAATTTATCTCTTCTGAGAAATCTTTTTTCCCTATTCTCCTGGACACTGTGAAGTATGTAACTACTGAAAGTTTTCCTCAAGTGGGTTACTAGAAAACTTAGGGCTTTCTGCTGCTCAATCTTATTAGCCATGACAGGGAGCTCAACCTGGTGCTCTGTGATAGCCGGGAGGGGTGGGATGTGGGTAGCAGGAGTGAGGTTCAGGAGGGAGGGGGTATATGTATACTTATGGCTGATTCATGCTTCTGTACAGCAGAAACCAATTCAACATTATAAAGTAATTATCGTCCAATTAAAAATAAATTAAAAAATAAAAATTAAAAAAGTCTACTTTTTGTGAAGTGCATTTTTTAGTTTCATTCAGGCTTGCCTTTATATCTCAGCTTTGTTCTGCTTCACTCTTTTTTTTCTACATTTATGCTAACTTAATGCATTTCAATATATTACGGTATTATATATCCTTTTTGGAGTAGGCAGGGTACTACTATATCAATGGAGATAGAGAGAGAGAGAGAGAGGGAAGGAGAGAGAGACACATATGCTCACACCCACTACTTAATAAGCTGTTTGAAATGTTGCAGGTGCTGAACCAATCACGTTCTTCTAAACCAGACCCACCCTCTCTTTTTCCAAGTCGTCTCGCATCTGCTGGTGTTCATGTTCAGTCAGTTCCTGGTCTCCATCCTGGTCATATTTTGTGAATATTGCCTCAATCTCTGCATCAGTATGGCCCTTCCTGAAATTAGTGAGAGGTTACAGATGAACTCATCCATTCACACGATCCATCCCAAACACAGCCATACTGACATGCGGGAGGAAAGGAGAAACTGCTGAGTCAGGGCCCGTCCTCCTCTTACAATACAGTTCAGAAAGATACCCACCTCTGAGACATTTCAGAAAGATACCCACCTCTGAGACAAATGTGTCTCTATGAGTACTCGGGCTAGAAGGAGACTTAGCACTAAGGATTTGTCTTTACATGAGGACTTTCCCAGCACTGGCAAATTGAGATTCTTACCCTTTGAGATCTTGCCGAAGTTCATCAAAGTTTAACTTGCCTCCCCCTTGCCGCAGACTCTCTGATATGTCATCCACAGTATTTTTCTTCAGTTTTAGTTTGATCAAGGCTTTATGGTAACCCTGCCAGAAAGAAAGACTGTTTTAGTTTATCCTCCTTTTTCATCTGTTCTGTCTGTCAATTACAGTGGTAACTAATGTAAACGCAGTGACCAGAACAGCATCTGACATAAATGGACCACAAAACAGGTGTGGGTTGGATAAATGACAAACGCACCCTGAGTTTTCCAGGAAGCTCATGTGGGAGAGTTATGTGGGAAGAGTCAGGTCTTTCAGTAAATGAAGAAGAACTAGGGATCTTTTGGTTTGTATTCAAGTTTAGTGTACAGGACGAAAGTCAGTACATTCCACAGCTGTCTGCCTCAGAGTATGTAGGAATGTGCAATAGTTCTTAAGAAAACTAAGAAACCTGAGTCATAGATTATTTTCTATATTATCTTACAGTTGATAATTTCCTTTCATAGGTCATGAGTGCAAAAAACACTTCAGTGACAAGGAGATGAGGATTTTTCACTATATACTGCAGTCCTTGCTATACATGGCAGTGCAGGGCTGTACAAAAGACAGTGCAACTGTGTGAGGCAATGTTAATTAATCAATGAGAAAAATTATGACTGTTCCTTGACCTTTGAAACTTTTGTTAAAACATTAAAAACTCCCTCAGTGTAGGCTACAAATTTATGGGGACATTTTAAAAAGAGTGAAATGATTATTTTAGTACACTGACGTTTTAAACAGTAGAAACATTGAAAATTGAAGTTTTATTTCTTTGTAAGAAACTTATTCAGAGAACTCCAAACAATACTTGCCTTCTTGTTGTTACTGTATAACATACACTATTAAGTGAACATATTTTCTACATCTTGGTGAGTTATAATCCTTTCTTAACCTGGATCAGCTTCCAATATTTTATCCCTTGCACTTCCAAAGTTGTGAAATATCTCTGAGAGTCCCTTTAAAGTGAAATTAGTTTGCCAGCATCAAGACATCTTCATCCTATTTGTCACAATCTCTTTCCTCATTTATGTTGATAAACATACCTTCACTAGTCCTTCTGTCTGCTCTCAAGCTCTTGATGTCAACACTCCCATGGCCAGCTACGTATTTCTTTTAAAAATCCATTGTTTGTTTTTAATTTCACTTCCAGTGTTATCATTCTTTGTCTCTTTGCTATACTTTGTTCTTCGCTGGCCTATTCTTTTAATTATGCATATTTATAAAATGTCACATGGGTTTATCACTGGGAGATTAGGAGGCAATATGACTATAACCTTCGTGCATAAACTGAATAGCAGATGATCAGGGACCAACCCTTGACTCTGAAAGAAGTGACATTATGAGTCACTGATGATGATGCACATTTGTTATTTATGTAATGACTTACAGAGCTGGTAGTGAAGTTTGTCCTTCCTGCTATTATTCACAGTTAATATGCTATAACTGAAATATACTATGATAACTGAAAGTGAAGTTTGTACTGTATGTTATTACTTGGTCAGTATACTGTAATAACTGAAATTTGAACTGTGTTTAAAGGTTGGTGTTATTTAACTGAAGTCACATCAGACCCAAAGAGCAAAGTGAAGACTGCTTGTAATTACCCTGGGGATTTGCTAGAATATAATCAACTGTTATGTAAAATTCAGGATAACACAAATGTTAGGTCTTGTCCAAGGGTCTTTGTTTTACAGAGCGGAAGTTCTCTGTTTCAACATGATTCACAGACAACATTGTCCTGTGGGTTGAACCAAACAGAAAAATATTATGGTCAAGGAGCCACTGTATCCAGCAGAATGATGACTGGCAACAAGCTGTGTACTTCAGATGTAGTTATTTGTTGTTGCTGAAGTTTTATACTTTAAATCAAGTAAAGAAGTCACATAGAGAAGAACAAAGTTGCCCAGATTTCCTGTCCTGCCCTTCCATTTAACAATTAAACACTTCCTGAGAAGGTGCATAAGTGAAAGTTCTCAGGACCTTAGGCTGTGGACTTGCTCCAAGGACTTCTTCCTTTGACTATTTTAAAACTTCCCTGGAAGGTCAAGGGTAAAGCGTGAACAACAAAATATTTGCCTCTAAAACTTCTTTTCTTTTTTTAAAAATCAAAATTAAGATAGAAGGGAAAATGTCTTTATATAATCTTCTCTTTCTGTTTATTCTGAACTCTGGATCTAAAAGTGAGAGCTGACTAGAGAAGGTGTCAAAATAAATAAAGAGGATGAACCCAGCAGCTAAGCTCTTAAGAGGCAAGAGATTACTGATAATTCAATTCTAGGGCATTAAAGGATTCCCAGAATTTAAGTCCAAGATAGCAGTATATCTATCTCTGTCTCCAACGTAGAGAGAACACTTAACTTACTCCTGGAACATACCAACCTACTCTTTATTTTAGACAGTGGATCATGTTGATTTGGCAATCTGGCTGAAGAGACGTTTACTTCATGTAGAAAATAAAATGATTCTGAGAATTAGGGCTTGTCATACCTTTCTGATAAGATCCGAGAGTTCCATCTCAGCTTTCTGCTGGGCCAAATCAGATTTAACTTCAGAGTAAGTGTCATTGATGATGGCCAAAAACATATTCTGTTTGTAAATCAAAGAAATGTAGAGATTAAAGAAGAAACCTAAATATATTTTGTAAACATCAATCTAAAATTTGATACATTTGACCTTTTTTTAAAACAATCTGAGTGTTTCAAGAAGTCATCAATTAATAGTTTTGCTACCAAATTCTTTGAGAAAATTAGTTTTTCCTTTGTTATGGCAAATAAAAATGCTATATTCTTGCTTACAAATGCAATATTTTGCAGAAAGATACAAGAATTAAATACAACAAAATATTAACATATTTACCTAGGAATGGTGGGGTTATTTTATTACTTTTGCTTATCTATGTTCTGTACATTTTTCACTTGACATAAGTTATTAGAGGTGTAGAACTCTAAATAGGTTCTCAAATTTCAGTAGTCAAGCCAGACGAGTGGAGTCTATGCTCATTTCAAATACTGTTATAATAGTTGGGGTTCACAGAATATATTTTAAGAAGTTAAAAAGACCTCCGCAAACGGAAACATGGTAGGCCTAGCTGAGAAAGACAGTCAAGAAAAGCTCAGTGGAAAAGACACAGACTTTGAAGTCAAGCAAACTTGGGTTTCTACCATGGCACTGCCAAAACTATATTCATTCTTATATTCTTCATTCTAAAATTTGTTTTTGCATTTATAAAATGGGAAAAATAGTAGTATCTCCACTACAGATTCGTGGTAAGGATTAATGAGTTCATCTATGTAAAGTACTTAGGACAGAATCTAACAGATGGCAGGTGCTACATTATTTATAGCAATTATCATTCAGTAGTGATTAGTCCATTTTCCTGACTTTTCCCTCCCCCACTAAAATGATTTGCATTTCCAATGCCTGTTTCCAATGGATTTTCTCAAAGTATCACACCTAATTGATAAGGTCCTTCTTTAACATGCTCTTCCCTTTGGTTTTCCTTTTTAGCATGTAACTATGGTTTGTGACTATACAGTTGTGTATGTCTGTTTTCCATACAAGTCCACAGAATCTTCATGAGAGGAGGGTTGGAATCTATTTTCCTTACTACTTGCATCCCCAGTACCCAGTATATTGCCTGAAATGTGGTGGCTCCATAAATATTTATTGATGACTGATGACTAAACAAATCAGAGCTCCATTATTTTAATGAGCTACTAAATCTCTATGAATTAAGGAGGAACATCATTTAGGATTCTGTATCAGAAATGAGAATACAAAAGACACAGACATTTGTGGCTTAATGCTCAATAATAAGGGCAGACAGCCGCAGTCAGTGGACGGTAACCCACCTTTGTTCTTCCCACACAGGCATCTAATATTTTATGTCTCTTTTCCAAATGATCAATAACTAACACCTGCAAATGTCAGTTGAAATGAATTACAGTGTGCGTCTTCTGATGAGATTTCAAAAACTGGGAAGTGGCTAGAATGGTTCTTGAAGGTGTGGGGAGAGGAGGTTCATGGCCTCTGTATTCTCTATCACTTGACTGAGGGGCGGACTTTGCATAGGAGGTCTTTCCCTGTCGATGGAGGGGCTTTTGCTCCTGGCTAAGCCAAGCCAGCTCACACCATTGTGGTTTCTTTAGTGGGGGCAATAGATTAAGACTTGGCAGTCATCTCAGAACAGTGGCCAGCCCTGCCCTTGGCTTGCCATTTACAAGGAATAAAAAAAAAAAAGATTCGTATTGACAGTAGCCTCCCCTCTCTCTGGAGGGTACACGGAGAACAATTCCTTTTTGTGAAGTAGTACAAATAAATATTTCAGTATAAAGACAAAAACTAAGAACTAAGAGCTTTTCATGTTCCAGGCATTGATCTGATAAAATGACTAAACAATTTAGGAGGCACTGCCTGTTAGAAGCCAACATTCAAATATGTCCGCGTTTGAGCATTTCCAATTGCCATGATCATGTCTCTCTCTGGCAGACTGATGCACAGAGAAAACTTAGTGGCCTGAAGTCAACTAAAGGGCTGCCGCAGAACACTCTCAATTCCTGATTTCTGTTCTCTTAGTAGAGACTCTGGGATTCAGATGCTTCAGAATTCAAAATATTACTAATGTAAGAGAGTGACAAAGGCTCACTCTTCTATTTTTTTCTTTAATATATGACAGAAAACAGAAACTTTTAAGAGGCTTAAGTTTAAAACTAATCATGATACATACAGACAGCAAGATATAAATGCTATTCCTGATTCTTTCAGTCCAATTAAAGTACATCTAATTCTCAATCAGCAAACACCATATACTTGACCACTAAATACCTGGACCAACTCTGGAGCTCCTACAACTGAATTAATGAGCTTTATACAAAGGATCTTTACAAAATCAATTAAAAATGGAAACATTGCTTTTTCTTAAGATATAGTTAATATAAGGAAAATCTTAAGTGATAGTGTTTTAAATGAAAAATACCCACTGCCCAGATTAAGCTAAGTTAAAACTTAGTGGAATGGACAAATAAATGTATAAATGCTAAGATGAAGAACAAAATGCCTTTCAAAAAACTTAATTAAAGGCCAAAATGCTAAAAACCTGAATTTGCACCAAACCAAGAGAATAAGAGGAATATTTTTGAAAATAAAATTTAAAACAACTTCCATTCATTGTGAGATTTAGTTTTAAATTAAAATTTGAAATATTCTTTGCATGCAGTCTCTAGATATATGAATTATGAATAAGTTAAAACAACCTATCTTGACCTCAACAAGCAACAATTCACTCAAAGGTCACTCCTGGTACCCTGCATCTGGCTTGCTCTGTCATTTTCTATTTTTAAAAAAGAAAAGAAGAAGGAGAGAAATGAAAAGTCATGCAAGCAAGTGATCATGAAAGTGCTGACATTTGTGTTTTAAAAAAAAGCGTGCAAGCATATTCTACTTCTTAGGCAAAGCACTATTTTAGGTAACTTTAAATCTGCACTTGATTTACTACTTTTTTTTCGAATTGAGTGTATATATATATATAGATGAAAGATCATGGAAAAGATAGTTGGTGAAGACTTAAAACTGTGAATGAATGAGAAATAAAACAAAACATGTTTTCTAATATCTACATTTTTCTACTTTCCAGGTCTTTAAAAAACTGATAGAGAATAAAGTGTAAGAGAAAAGAAAAGATGATGATTATGATGGTGATTTATGAAATTTAAATCACCTCACTATAAACAAAAGTGTACATACCAAAAGAATGAAGAACATAAAGAACACAAATGTAGTGAAATAAATTGGTCCCAAAACTCGATTAGCTTCCTCAATCTCTGCGAAGTTGATATCACCCAAAATGATACGGAATTGAGTGAAGCTATAAAAACAAAACAAAACACAACACCACAATACAAAAACAAAGAGTGTCCAGCATTCTTTTGACATAACATTTCTCAGAAGATAATTTCATACTTTTGGACCTTTTTTTTAAAAATCAATGTGGAAAGCTGCCAAATAACGAAAACTGTCAACCCCTTGGGAAAACTTTTGCTACTTATATGAGCAATTAAAAACCTTCTAGAATAAAAATAATATGCTTTCATGCAAAATATGTTATTTTCATTTGGTTAAATTATTATTAGATGACTTATAAAGCAATTGACTATAAGAATTTAATACATAATCTAGGTAAAAGATGATAACTCTAAACCTTCACAATGGTCACCCTGCATATGAATTTTAAATCTCTTAAGAAAAAAAGACTTTTGAAGCATAGCCAAAATTGTATGTGTTTGAAGATCAAATATTCTCAATGCACTTAAAGTGGGGAAAAGAACTGCTGTGTGTTGCCAGATGTTGGGTCTTAATCAGTAATTGTTTCCATTCCCAACTTTCATGAAACAGTAACATTATTTAGGCATTCTTGTACACAAAGCCCTATTAACTTTTATTATCATTACCATCATCTTTCCTAACTAACTCCTTTCTACAGGCCGTGGAAGTATGATACTGGCTACTTTACCTGTTTGTAACATAATATTTATGAATTTTGGGAAAAAACCTGAAAATTCCAGTATTGGTTTGTGCTTCTCCTCAAATATTAGAAATAGCTTTTTTCCTTAGAAAATAAGCTGAAGTTTAAATGTATGGCAACAATATTTGATAGGTATAAAAACAGAGGCAAATTGTGTCTTAAATGCTACCATCTGCATTTGGTGCTGAGAAGACCTCACTCTTTGGGACAGAGCTGGTTTATGATAACTGTTATTCTATATCTTACTATGGTACTTATAGGCTCTATTTTAAACATTAGCATTTCAGAAATTATTGTCATAATTGCATTGGTGGGTTAATGTTTTTGGAAAGAGAATTAATTCTCATTTTAAACCACTACTTTTAAATATTTGGTAGTTACACAGCCACCATGAAGGTTTCTTTAACCTTGAGAAGGCAGTGTTTTCTCTGATTCAATTTGTCTTCTTAAGTTCATATATACTTACATACACTCTTGGAAAGTACTGAAGTCATCAACTTGAGTGCCAAAGACAAGGTATGCCAACTGAGCATATGCTAAGAAAATAATGAAGAACATAATTGCAAAGCCAAAGAGGTCTTTGGCACACCGAGACATGGTTGTAGAGAGCTGACTCATGGTCCTGTTAAAGTTGATAAATTTGAAGAGCTGCAAAAGAGGGAAAATATACACAGGTGAACGGGTAATATACCACATTACCCATTACCACAAAATATGCCACAGATGAATGTGGTATATACATACAAGCATATTCGGCCCTAAAAAGGAATAAAATTTTGATGCATGCTACAACATGAATGAACTTTGAACACACTGTGCTAAGTGAAATAAGCCAGACACAAAAAGACAAATATTACATGGTTCTACTTATATGAAGTACCTAGAATAGGGAAATTCACAGAGACAAAAAGGAGAATAGACGTTAGCAGGAGCTGCAGAAAGTGAGAAACAGGAAGTTAGTGTTGCGTGGATAAAAAGGTTGCAGTGTAGATGATGAAAAAGTCCTGGAAATGCACGGTGGTGATGGTTCACAACACTGTGAAGGTACTTAATACCACTGAATTATACACTTAAAAGTAGTTAAAATGGTAAACTTTTTACATATATTTTACAACAAAAAAGAGAGAGACAAGAAAGATTTTTTTCCCCCAAATCTCATTCATGAAGTATTTGTTGAGGGACTACCATATACCAGGTATTGTTCGTGGAGCTGGGAATACACCAGTGAACAGAGCAAAGCCCCTGCCCTCATGTCACTTATAGTTCACATGTTGGTTAAAACACAGAGAAAACAAGTTTAATTATAATTAAAATGATCACTGACATTTTTCGCCTAGAAAGATTAAAAGAAAAAAGAAAAAACCCACAAATGAAAACTAGCTAGGTAAGGCACAGGGAGCGATGCTCAATATCTTGCAATGACCTATAATGGAAAAGTAGAAGTTGCTCGGTCGTGTCCGACTCTGCAACCCCATGGACTGCAGCCTGCAAGGCTCCTCTGTCCAGGAATTCTCCAGGCCAGAATACCGGAGTGGGTAGCTGCTCCCTTCTCTAGGAATAATGGAAAAGAATCTGAAAATAGATATATATAACTGAATCACTTTGCTACACACTTGAAACTAACACAACATTGTAAGTTAACTAGAGTCCAAAAAAAACAAAAAGAGTTAACCTAAAAAAACACTAGTTAAAAAAACTCCAGAAAATAACAGAGAAAACAAGTTTAATTATAATTAAAATGATCACTGACATTTTTCGCCTGGAAAGATTAAAAGAAAAAAGAAAAAACCCACAAATGAAAACTAGCTAGGTAAGGCACAGGGAGCGACACTCAATATCTTGCAATGACCTATAATGGAAAAGTAGAAGTTGCTCGGTCGTGTCCGACTCTGCAACCCCATGGACTGCAGCCTGCAAGGCTCCTCCGTCCATGAATTCTCCAGGCCAGAATACCGGAGTGGGTAGCTGCTCCCTTCTCTAGGAATAATGGAAAAGAATCTGAAAATAGATACATATAACTGAATCACTTTGCTACACACTTGAAACTAACACAACATTGTAAGTTAACTAGAGTCCAAAAAAACAAAAAGAGTTAACCTAAAAAAAAACTAGTTAAAAAAACTCCAGAAAATACTTATTGAATATTATTAACTATTATTTACTGTGCATCAACTGTGTGCCAGGCATTGGCCAGGGCTCAGAGTAAGGATCTGCACCAGGCTCTGACTGCATAGCCACATTGTGCATTTTTGTAGACAAAGCATTGAGGATGCAGCCCAAATTGGGCAGCTCCAGCCCAGAGGGCATGAATCCCACACAGTTCTAGCTAGGAGCCCTGGTGGAAGGACGTGGAGAGATCCATCAGAAATAGAGTTCTAATCCCTGCCTTAAAGAATTTAATGGCTCCCATGGTCTTGGGAATAAAACATTCATAGGTGAAGCACTAAATTCAACCCTCAGCCTGAGGCACATACTGAAAGAAAATATCTAGCATTTTACTTAAAGACCTCTTATAAACTGTTTCTGGCCATAGCAAGACATTTTTGATGGTTGTTGAAACGTTACTTAATACAGCTCCCAGCAATATTTCTATGAGATTGTGATCATTGTTACAGTTTGTGATAATGGCTTGGTATGTTAGTGATGGTTTCTCTTGAACAAATATGTAAATGAAAAAGTGGCATGAGAGACTCAGGACAAGGTCTAACCCCCCTGATAAATCTCAGGCCTTCCAGCTATGAATACCATCCAGAAAAATAAGTAACTGTTGGCAAGTACCTTCTATAAAGGTGCTCTTCAATAGAACGCTAAAATTTAAATTAAAATCTAGTCACTTGTGACTTAATAGCAGCTACTATCTAGATGGCACAATCACAGAACTTAACTGGTGACAGTCTGGCAGCTGTCTAAGACCTAAAATTTCCTACATCTCCAGAATTGAGGCTTGTTGTATATGACATGACTCACGCTTTCACACATAAGGAAATGCACATGATGCTTTAGAAGGAAATGAGTCCTGAAGGCACTACTTGCAGGAGGTGTCCGTCCAATCTCAATTCTAGGTAAAGCCTCCCTAAGACCTCCACCTGGAAAGGAGGCAATGTTTCCAGAGAACAGATCCAATGCAGTCTCTCTCCCTTCCATTTTCCCACCCTTCCCCTTCTTAGTTCCTTTTCCTTCACCTGGTCACCCCACATAAGGAAAAATTAGAACCTGTCTCTGTCTCTGTATAGCCAGGGGCCTTAGGCCAGCAGAACACTGAAAAGGGCTCTTGATGCATTTATTAAACAAAACCTACAAAGACAGTTCTTGCAAGAGTGCAAGCAACCAGGAGCCTCATTCAACACTGAGATAAAAAATCATGAGAGTCCTGCTCGTTTGTTTCAGTCATAATACATGGAGCAGCTCTGGCTACTTCAATCTGGCCACAGAAGCAAATGCAGGTCCTTCAACATTTTCTGTGACTCACACTAACAAAAAGAAGAAAAAAATATTAAAAATCTGAAGGTGAAATTTATAAATTACCTTAATCCAGACAAAAAACACTATGACAGCAGCTAGGTTGTTGAACTGTATTTGCCAGTATGCCAGATTCTCAAAGTTGGGGAAAGTATTTTGATCTTCTAGAAACTGCAGCAGAACTTCCACATTTGATGTTCTGTATATGTTAATTCCTATAGCGACCACTGATAGCTGGAAAACAAAAGAGTAAATAAAGATATTGTTACAGTGTTCTAGAAATCTATAGCTCACCTTAAAATGACTAGTTTATTTTCCTTCATCAGTGTATTAGTTCCAGGGCTCACCACTCTATTCACCCAATGGCATTAATAAAAGTCACTCACATACCCAGAGAGAAAGTGTTAAGCACTGCCATAAAAAGTGAAACAATACACTGCTTGCACTTCTTAGTTAGAAACAGAATTTCAGTGAGAGCACATGTGTGTGTACACACCGGAGATGTCACTTTACTACAAAACAAATCACATAGGAAAGCCTTCTGTTTTTTCTGCCACTTTCCTTTTAAATCACTTACTCTTCTTTCTCAGGCCTCATCTCACTCTCTGTTTTCATTTGTGGGGCTATTTCCTCACTCTCTAGCCATCTATCCTTTCTTTTATTCAACAAATACATAGATATCTACACATACAGCACTGTGGCAGGGATCAAGAGGAACAAACGGAAGTAAGAAGTGCAAACCTTGTCCTCGAGAAACTTAAACTCTGGTTCAAGAGCAAATAAACACACAGAGACAAATAGTACAAAAACCTTCGAAGAAGCTGACATCATACAACACAGGTGAAGGGTGAATTGAGACATATTAAAAGGAGTGCTCATGAAAAGAAAGGAGGAGCTTGGTCTTAGATGGTGGGAATGATGGGCACAGAGGGCTTGAGAAGGCTTGCAGTGGGAAGATGAAGCCCAGAGGTCCCCCTTGCCTGTTTCTGTCCTTTAACTCACAACCATACAGTTCTTCATATCTGCTTTGGTTCTGGGCTATAAAACCAGGTTTGAGGGGAATACTGGGCCCTACTTGCATCCATCATCACTGGAGGAACATGTATGTGTGGAAAGTGCTAAGGGTCAACCATAAACGTCTGGCCCTCACATAGATCCTGAATCCATGGCAGCTGGGCTGTGGCAAGTGCTGTGACCTTTGCTGTTCATTCTCTTTCTTTTCTCATGATCACAGACCACTTCATCAGCCCTTCCGGGGGTGGCTGTCTTGGTGAATATCAGAGTCAAGACCTGACTGGCTGCCAGCCAGAGATGAAAAAGACCACCTCACCACCTTACTTTTCTTCTCTGTAAAGGAGTTCCAGTCTTAACCTAGTATTTTTGGCACTGGTGGTAGGAATATTTCCTTTGAGCTTTTTAGAATACACAGATAAGTGTTTTCTGCATAGACTTAGCTGAAAGAAAATGGCTGACTGACTGAATCTAAAAATAACTTTTATCAACACTCACCAGGTACCCTTTGTTTTAGCTCTGCCCGGGGCAAATGTTTATAAAAATACGGAAGTAAAGTGAAGTGAAAGTCACTTAGTCATGTCCGACTCTTTGTGACCCCATGGACTACACAGTCCATGGAATTCTCTAGGCCAGAATACTGGAGTGGGTAGCCGTTCCCTTCTCCAGGGGATCTTCCCAACCCAGGGATCGAACCCAGGGCTCCCGCAGTGCAGGAGGATTCTTTACCAGCTGAGCCACAAGGGAAGCCCATCAATATCATATCATAGAAAGACACTGAATTTCCTTGAGACTCTTCCTTCAAAATAGAGAATGAGAGAGTAAAGGGAAGAAAGTGAGTTTATGAGAGTTTGGGTCATTATGTGACTCCGAGTTTTGAGATTCTCATCTCTATCTACAGAAGAATTTTCTTTTTTGGATATAAGCTTCACAGAAAGCATGCCCTATTTCTACAGGGTCAGAAAAGGTTTCAAAGGAGAAGTAGAGTTCCAGTAACTGTTTCCTGAACTTATAAAAGCACACTGTCTGAACTGTTGTCTTGTCAGTACTAAGAGTTAAAAAAAATAACAACAATAGCATAGGGAAGCAAGTTTCCAAGAAAATACTTGCAAAATTCTGTGGCTGCTGAGCCAAAAAACTAGCCTCAATTTCTATGATATCAACAAGAAAGAAAATATTAAAACTCCTACACAAGCTATAATAAAGTATTAGAATTCTGTTTGTATTTATTTTTATCCAAACATTTAAAATTCTATGATGTGTATTATTTTGCAAATGTACCTATTACACCACTACCAAAACAGAATAAACAAAACATTGTTTTCTCTCCCACATCTCATATGGCATGCCAAAGCCAAATATGAATTACTAAGCCATTCTTATTATTAGTGTGGCCAAACGACAGCCTATATTGTAAATGCCTCTCCACTTCATATGCAGAAAGGTTACTCATGCAAAATGAGACAACTAGGAACACTGAAGCTGTTATTACGGAGGAGAACTTTAGACTCTCCTTCAGGAAGATAAAGACCCACAACAGTGAGGACAGCAGAGACTCTAACACGTTTCTGTAACAGAGAGGAGATTTGGTGTTGTTCTCCAACCTACCACGATGATCACAACATCCAGACAATTCCAGAAACTCCTGAAATAGTGTAGCTTGTGAATGCGAATTTCCAATATCTCTTCCACCACATAGTAAAGGATAAAGAAACAAAAGATAATCTCACAGGCTGCCAGGAAGAAATCAAAAGTTGTAACATAGCGGATCAGCTTTACAGGCTGAAATTGCCAAGATGGAATCACACCTCCTGTTGCTGGGAATTCGATCAGTAACCTGCATTGTGATAAGAACAGTTAAAACAATAACATCAATAACAATCCATGGATGCAGTCAGGGAAGAACATCATCTACTCTGTCCCTGCACTAGAAGGTAATAAAATTGCAACCACAAGTCACCACAATTGTGTGTGTGCGCTCAGTCATGTCTCTTTGCAACCCCATGGACTGTAGCCCACCAGGATCCTTTGTCCATGGGATTTTCCAGGCAAGAATACTGGTGTGGGTTGCCATTTCCTACTCCAAGGGATCTTCCCAACCCAGGGATCAAACCTGCAACTCTTGCATCTCCTGCATAGGCAGGTGGGATCTTTATCACTAGCATCACCTGGGAAGCCCTAGTCATCCTAGTTTGGGATGACCACCACAAGTCGCTCCAAACAAGTGACAAAATGTTCTTATCACAACCAGTAACCCCCTCCTTGTAGAATTCTGTGTCACAAGAAGAACAAATCTTGTCTTCCCAAATCCTCCCAGACCAAAGAGATTATTTCTCCTCAGTCTCCCATTTACCTTTCTGGTATTCATACTACTCAGAATGCTGTATAATTGTTTTTTAAATGCAGAAATTAATCAAACGAGCCTTTCTCAGATTTCTATTAAATGTAAGTCATTCAACTGGGCAATGACGAACATAAGAAGTTTGTGTCATCTTTCAAAACACCTATGGACCAGCTGAGAAGTAGGATGTCTATTTTGTATACAGATAAAGATAGGGACCGAGTTTCTCATTCATGCATCTGATGAATCAGCATCAAATATTTGTCTAGGAAAACCTTTCTGCTATTGGAACTTCCTAGAACCTTATAGTGAATTGGTGCTTAGTAAATGTCTGATTGTCTGAAACAGTAACATATGTTTTTAAATTTACACTGAAGTCCCTGGTCTTTTAATGCTTTATCATAATTGAAATGAAGATGCTTCTTGCCAAATTCACCTTTGCAGGTGTCACAGTGAGAAGGTTAAATGATTCACTTAATGGTATAATTTCCCTTCACACTAGAAATAGACTCTCCAGACCCTTAACTTTAAGATTTTTTAAAAGACCTCCAGTCAGTATCAGGCATAGCTATCTCTCCCATTACAGGATGGACAGGACAGGACCTCTAGAACCTGAGTATCTAAGGCTTAAGCATGAGCAACACTCAAGTACATGCAGTGACTATAGCAAATTAGAATTGGTCAAAGAAGCATGAAACACTTTCCTTCCTTCGTAGTATCAGTATCCTGTTTCCTTCCTATTTTATGTGCTAGAGAACAGGGGTGAGAACCACAAACCAGAGAGCAATACTGAAATGAAGAGCCTTGTGACAGCCTCAGTGTAAACTCGCAAGGGCAAGAAGTGGCCTCTGTGTGCTGAGTCATCTCTCTCTGCCCGTTGTGGTTCTGCATGGTCAACCCCTCCAGACACTGAGGCAACAATGCAGAAAAATGAAGCAACTGTCTTGCCAATATTCACTCTTGAAGTATGGGGAGGAAGTGAGACATATTCATTTATACTTTCTATTTATATGTTATTTCCTTAAATGTCAACCAGAGTTGCTTGCTTGTGTTTATCCTCTTTCTGTGTTCACTAGAATCATTAGGAGATGTTCAATAATAATTGCAGCAAATGTTCATTCCTTTCTAGTAATATCTATTACTTGATTTAATGTAAATCACGATGTGATTTAATGTGATAAAAGTTGTTAGATATAAAGACTGGGAAAATCCACTTGGCTATATAATGTAGAGTTTGAGTTTAGTCTCAAAAATAAAGCTACTACAACAATTTATCCTTATGATGCGGTGGGTAAACATATGTGCAGGGCTTCCCAGATGGCGCAGTGGTAAAAATCTGCCTCCCAAGGCAGGAGACTCAAGACATGTGGGTTGATCTCTGGGTTGGGAAGATCCCCTGAAGTAGGAAATGGCAGCCTGCTCCAGTATTCTTGCCTGGAAAATTCCAAGGACAGAGGAGCCTGGTGGGGTCGCAAGAGTCGGACACAGCTGAGTGAGTGAGCACACAACACAGACAAACAAACGTATGTGCAAGTAATTCATGTTGGCAGTGTCTGGATGTTGCCACCATGTTCACAAGGAGGATTAAGGTGGATGCTGAATCTCCAGAGTTCTGCCTTTTTATGGCACACTACCTTCTAACATGCTATTTGTTTCTTTTGTTTATTGTTTATCATTTATTATCTCTTCCTGATTGAATGCAAACTCTACAAGGACAGGGAAATTTATTCTGTTCACTGACACAGGCCAAAAGACTTGAACAGTGCCTGGCATATACTAAGTGTCTAATAAAGGTTTGTTGAATGAATGGATGAATGAGAGGTCCAAACAAGCCAGTGAGATCTTTTGTTAGTTTCCTCACTATCAGCAGAGTGGTCATTATGGTGACATTGCAGAATGGGTAGAAGGAACTTTATGTGTCTTTGGTAAATCTTTTTAAGTGTGAGCAGATACCTAGGCATCCTGCTCAACCCAGGCATAGCCCTTGACTACTGTGCTTATGTTCTGGTAGCAGACGCATCGTATGAGAATGGGAAACTCAGGAAAGTGAGACAAGGTTTGATGCCAGGGCTCCTTGCTAACAGTATCTTCATAATGGGAAAGGAGAAATGCTGGCAAAACACAGGGCTTTATCTGAGAAAGTTCCAGCTTTGGGATGAACTTGGACCAGACTTAAAGTTCTTCCTAACTTGCAATATTCAGGGAACCTAACTCCTTTCCCCTAAATGTCCCCATCCCAATAAGCTTTTGGTTTTCATCCCTCCTTGTTATCAGTTCTGATCCTTGACACTCTCATGCAGACAACTGCAGGCAATGGTTTTCTGACTTAAAATCCAGACTAGGATGTATTTACAAATACACAAGCAGAAGGAATGAGTGCCCTTCATACACACCTGATCACGCAGAACAGGTTAATATTGGCGTTGTACACTGAAAAGTCAATAAAAATCGCTCTGGTTCCTCGGTCCAGCCAGACATTTTTCTTGAGGTTAGCAACTTGAGCGGCTGTTTCCTCTCTTGTTCTTGACAAATCCAGGTAATAACCAGCTCCACTATAAGTTGCAATCATTCCCCAGTGGCTGCTCCCATTCAAGTCTTTTTCACTTGTGTAGATCCAACTAATTAAAAAACAAAACAAACAGGTAAAATCAATGGAACACTTGGAGCAATTACAGAGACAACTGGTTCCTGGTAAGACAGAATAGGTATTGATAAAAAATAAATGCAAGTCTCATCAAGCTGGGTAATGTGCTTTCCACTGCACTTTGTGTTTTCTTACATAATTCTGGCATAGCTATTATCCCCCTTCTAGGAATAAGGGCCCTAAGGCTTAGTGAGGTCAGCTCTGTCTCAAATGTTTTTACAGTAAAGTCAGAAACCTACCCCAGAACTGTCTGTATTCAGAGGTCTATTCTTTCAGTCCTCAGCTGATACGGTTGCCTTCCCAGGGTAACTTTGGGACTAGATGACCCAAGGCCTCCCAAAAATTGCAGCCAAAACAGGTACAAATTCATCAAGTGCCATTGGCAGCCACCGAACTAAGTGAGTCTCCACAGAGCATTGGGAATTTAATCCACAGACATTTACAGAGGCTCTCAGGAAGCAGATGATCCTTTGGCATTAATGAGGATAGAAAGATGAACCAAGATCCTTTCTCTCCCAAATTTATAATAAGTAGGGAGAGAAAAGTTGTAATTAAATCATGAAAATACAAGGTAGCAAATAATAAGAACCAAAGAAGAAGCATAGAGAGACTGCTTGGACTGAGGGAAGCTAGCCTTCTTTGAAGCTTCAATGATGAAGAGAAACATGAATGAGAGAGGGATTTGGGAAGAAAACATGTTGAACATAGGCTGTGGAAGCTAAGCAGAATTCAGACTTACACAGGGAGATGGGGATGGTATTTTTAAGCCTAAGCCTGGCAGAGCCAAGGAAGTACAAGGTATCCGCTAGTGGTTTGGTTTGGCTCCCATATGATGAAGGAGAAGGCTGAAAGATAGACTGCGGTCAGGTAGTGAGGGGCAGGCCTCACAGGGTCACCAAAGAGAAGGTTTCTGGGAGGCACAGAACAGGGTTACTCTGGGGGCTGAGGTGAGGACAAGCCTGAAGTGGTGAGGAACAGAGAATTCATGGGCAGAAAAGAGTCAATACAGTGGGTCTTAGACCACCTTTTCTTAAAAAGCCCTACTTGCCAGGTTGGTCCTCAGTTGGTATACGGAATTTAGGTGATAAATAGCCCCCTACACTGATAAAAAACTTTCTCTGACCAGAAACAGTGGCTTGAGGTACCAAGGCTTCTATACAAACAATATGGCTTATGCCGCATGCCTGCTTTCCTTCTGGGAGTCTGGGATTTGAGGATGTGCCAGGCAGAGCCTGCCTATGTGACCAGTACCCAGTAAAATAGGGCAGGCACCAAGTCTCTGATGAGCATCTTGAACAGACAACGTTTCCTATGAGTTGTCACCATGTGTTCCTGGAGGAAGGATGCATGCCCCGCGCAACTCCGCTGGGAGAGGACCTTCGCAGACTGCACCTGGTTTCCTCCAGACTCGGCCCCATGTGCCTTTCCCTTTCTCTGCTTTTCCATCTATCCTTTCAGTGCAATAAACCTCAGCTGTGAATATAAGCTGAATCCAGGGAGCTCTTCAAGCAGCTGTTGAACCTGGGGGTGGTCCCGGGGACCCCGACACAGCTGAGTCAGCTGTCCCTACAAGAACCAAGAGGTGACGAGGCCTGAACTAGGTGGGAAGGAAAAGGCAGAACTGACACAGGGCCACGGCAGTCAACAGAACCTGGCACTGATCTGGAAGTTGGGGCAAGTGAGAGGAGACCTCTGAAAAATGACTTGAGTCTCTTTTTGGGCAATTCAAAGATGGTGGTGCCACGTACAGGAGGGCGTTCAGATCCAACAAGAAAGTGATGAGTTCAGTTTGGGGCATTTTGAACTACGGGAGCTACAGGGGGCATGCAGACTCATCTTCTATCACTCGAATGTCAGCAGTGCCAAGACACGTGTATGCTTCTGTTGTGTTTACTGCTGTTTTTTCACTCTAGCCAGCACCAAGGGCATTTCTAGAAAAGGGAGAATTCACTGGGAACATGCCTGGCACATGTTAACACTCAGTATATTTGTTGAAGAAACAATGAATCATCAAACAGAGATGAGAATGGGAGCCATCTGAATATCAGAGAGTATAAAGAAAGAAAAGATAGATATCTGAATACAGAACCTGGAAATAAGAGAGAGGAAGGGGGTTGTAGAATTAAGAGAAACTCTATTTCGCTATCACTCACCAAAGTCAAATGAACAAGCAATCAACAAGACCGTATCCTGCAGAGGGGTTGATGAGGATTAGGCTGGTAATGGATCAGTGGATCGGCAAATAGAACAAACCCACCAGTAGCTTCCAAGAGAGGTGTCAAAAGCAAAGGCTTAAGCGTTAAGGTGTGAATCAATGGTAATGAAAAGGAGGAAGCCGTGAAGACTCTTCTTTCAAGAAGTATGGTGATGAAGGGAAGGAGAAATGGGAATGACTCAGATTCTGGCAGGACCAGGGAGCGTTTAGAAACACACACAGGAAGGATCCCTTCATTAGCCCACCCTGCATAGAAAATCACTAATTCACTGTGTGTCCAACAGGTAGTTACTGAACATTCTGGATGTTCTAGGTACTGTTCGAAGCTTTGGAAATATACTGGTTGAACAAAACAGGGTCCCTGCCATCAGGAAGCTTGAATTCTGACCAAAAGCTTTTAGGGCAACAAGCAGTGAGCAGAGGAACACAATTAATATGGAAGAAGCAATGTGGTGTCACAGAAGACACACGGGCTTTGGAGTCGAGCTGGTTAGATCCTAGCATGATTCCATTTACTAGCAGAAACGCTTTGGGTAAGTGAGCCTCCATCTTCTCATCTATAAAGTGGAGCTGACACCTATTTCAAAGTTGTTCTGTGAAAAGTGAAGGAGATAATGCAGGAATTCACTTTTTCACTAGCATCTGGCATGGACTAGAGGCTGCATACATCTCTCTTACCAATGACATGAAAGAAAATATGAGATAAGAATAAATAAATAAATAAATAAATAATATGAGATAAGGAGCCACAGTTTAAACACATGCTTGTGCTTTGTGGGAACTAGAAAATGGAGCATTAGAGAACAAACTCATTTGTCACCACCTGGAAAAATTGTGTTCTGAGGATTCAGTCCCTTTTCTCTAAATCAGATGTGCAGTGAGTTTGTTTCTTACAGGCCGGGGCATCAAAGAGGGTGTGCACTGGATAACAAAGAACCTGGTTATCGAAAAGGTGTTTGCTCTCATATGTGTCAACTAATATGGATTCTGGTGTCTTAGTTCCCAACAAAGGGATCTAGATAAACTGAAAGAGTTTAATAAAGCTTAGGAGAAAATTCTAACCATAGTGACTTACCCAGGGCCCATGACCCAAGAGATCCACCTTGGGACAGCCCAAGAGCTCTTCTCACTTTTTATAATAATTCTAGAAATAATGACTACAATCCCTTAATACACAAGATGTTTTAAGTATGGTTATCAAAGAGCACTAAAAAATCCCTGCAAATATACACAATGTAGATATGTACTCAAAATCATAAACACACATTGGAGGACAGGTTTTAAACCAGACAGAAAAACTGCCTCAAAAACTTATTATACACTTTAGATAATTGTACTCTGAACACAAATTTGTTTCTAACAGCTAATAAAAAAGAATTTCTGTATCAAAAGAACTTCCTAGTAACAACCTAGTGAACCACGGCACTGGAACTATAAACATAGGATCCCGGCATCTTAAAAGAAACCTCTGAAGGCGCAGGTAGCTTTGTGCCTGTGGGGATGCAGTCAATAATTAACTCTTTTGAAAAATATGTATGTGGAAGCTGAAGCATGTAAAAAGTAAAGAAAACTTAGGAAGCCAAAGTTTGGCCACAGCCTTAAATATAAGCATTAAAGGCATACTCTCCTTGGTGAAGGGGTCAGAGAATGACGGAATGAATGTCCATGAGAAGTCAGGGCCCAGTTCCACAGCCACAGACACTTACGCAGTTCCATTTCTAGGACCAAATGGAGCCCGGTCTTCACTGCTGACGGAGTAGACATCATAGCACTCTTTAATCTCATCTCTCAAGTCCAGGGGGATGGAACAGGATCCATTTCTGACTCTGAGTTGCCGTATACGTGGTACCCCTAACAGGAGGTTCTCATAGTAGATGAAGCTTCGGTTGTCGGCTTCCGTTTTGTTGCTGGGCTGCATCTTCCAGTACAGCCCATCCAACAAGGCGCCTTCTGCGAACTGAAAGCAAAGGCAATGTTTTTGAAAAGCTTCAAGCTCAGAGGCTGCCTTGTTTCTTCCTGGAATGCTTGTGTGACCCACAGTTTGACAACTCTGTGAACAGGGTAGAGTGACAAGGGTGGGTTTTGCTGTCAGAAAAACTGGATCTTGCTCCAATCATGCTCCACCATTTAATTGCTAGCTGCGAGGACTTGAGCGTCTATAATATCTATCTTTTTTTTAGTTTTATTTTTTGGCCACATCATGTGGCATGAGGGATCTTAGTTCCTTGACCAGGGATCAGACTTGTGCACCCTGCAGTGGAAGTGTGAAGTCCCAACCACTGGACTGCCAGGAAAATCCCTGTAATATCTACCTTTTGTGTGGTTGCTATACCTGGCAGAGTGGGCACTTCATAAATAATAACTTGGATTTTTACCCTAGTTCTAAAGGCTGGGGGGATGGTGTCATTTGCATAAATCCATAACCATGATCAATTTCACTTTCCCTTATTAAAACAGCATCCCACACAGTAATCACGGTTCATTATCATTGCAGAGAAAAAAGACTATCGCTTTGATTATCAGTCTGCTTTAAATTGTCTGGAGTTTTCTGTCATATTGTGAACTCCCTAACCCCCCACCACCCCTTCCTCCTCTCCGTTTTTAGAGTTTGGCACTCATCATCACAGAACTGTGTATATGTGAGATAGCTCTTATTGGTTTGCCTCTAGGGATGACAAACCCAGCTGTTTCTCAGTGTCTTATCTTTATCAGATGGTCAACTGAGATGGAATGCTTTGCTTTCTTGAGATGGGGAAGATTTATAAAGCCACATGTAAGCACTCTGCATGTTAGTTTCTTCATGTACAATCTGGGACATGATTTTTGTACCTATCTTATTAGGTTACAATGGGGGTTAAATAAGGTAAGGTATGAGACAAGGTACATGCAAGGTTCTCAATGGAAGTGCTAACAACTCACCATAACTTATAGCATCTCACCCAGTGTTAAGTGAATAGCAGGATCTGTAGACACCACTGAATTGAATTTATGAATTTATGAAGCCAAATGAACAATTTTCAATGACAAAGAGGTCATTTGCAAATACCTTCCAGAAGTCTTCCATTGAAGAAAGAGTTTTAAAGTTAGTTTTCTCCGTTTTGGACACTGGGGTGTCCAGGAAGAGTTGTGACATGATCCGGGTATAGTAGTACACACTGGAGCTCATCATCCCATAGGTCACTGGAAGACAGAATGAGCCAGATGAGCCGTGCAAAGGACCCGGCACGCTCGCTCACACCATCCCAGTGGACATGCTGATAGCCACCCTGCCTTCCTTCCCTTCATCATTCCTCCAGGCTTCCTCCCCAGTTCTCTGGCTTATAAAAGAAATAAATTAACATTGGCTTATGTGAAACAGAACTGGCTTACTACTGAATATCTGATTAAGATCGGGCATCTCTGATCTTGACACATGGGACTTCCAGCGTGCCCTGCAACTTCACTTCCCACCACCTTCCAGAACACTCTCCACACCAGTGAGCCTGATGCCCCCAGCGGAGGCCACCTGGAGCTTCTCATCCCCTGCTGTGGGCTGCTGCTCACTCTCTCCACAATAGGATGGGCAGGCCCTTTGTTCTCAGATCAATTCTCCATTCTTCTCTGCTCTACTCTGTGCCTCAAGGCTGACCCCTACAGACCGCACCACTGGGCTCCCCTGCATTCAGTCAACAGGAGGCAGGACAGGAGATCTGGGGGCCCAGGAGTTGGGTTTCCCCCTCTGCCCTCTCCCTCACTACCTGGATGCAGTTTGGCAGGACCCTCTAACTGTGGCCACAGCTGCTGGGAGCATCTCTTCTCCAGTCACACTGGCCTCACACCATGCCATTCCCTCTCCTGTCTCTTCAGGCCTGGAGCTGGGAATCCTTCCCAGCACCTCATGTCCCCTTGCTGACTCTTGTAACCTTGCCACACCTCTGTAAACAGCCCCTCTGTTAAACTTTCTTTAATTACCACTTGTGTCTCCCATGTCTTTCCTTCTGGGATGCTGACTAACACAGACACATCTGCCTCCCACCCACCCACCAGATCTTATACGGCACACTCTAAACTCAAGCCACAGCCCTGCCATGAAGACTTGCCAGCCCATCTTACCAGCCCATTCTGAATGGTCTTGGAGAAAGGTGGGGAGATCATACTCAGTCTGAGTAGGTCACAGGAGATTAGGATTTGAATCTGATCTGTACAAATCAGGTCTGTGACCTGTACAAGTCGCTTGTGACCTGTACAAGTAGCTTAACTTTCTAAGCCTCAGTTTCCTCTTCTATAAGATGGAGATAATGAGTTATCTCATGGGAGTTTTCGGTACTTAAAAAAAAATTACTAAAATTTATCCAGTACCGTGGTTGACACTTAAGAGTCTAGTAATGGTGGTTCTTCCTGCCTAACCAAACGGCTACAACAAATCTATTCAAAATCTCAACATTTTAATGAGTGCTGTCTTGTGCTGAACTCTAATGACTACAGGTATAATACGCTCTAATACCTAAGCATGCCTATATACTTCAAGAAAAAGGAAATACTTCTTATGTTTCCTTTGATCACAGAGGTTTTATACGTCTTTTGACCACAGTTCTCAACACTCAGGAAGTGATGAATACTTAGTTGACTCTGTAATAATCTTCGGGACAGCATAAAATGCATTTTAAAACCTCACAGTTGGTGATTTGGGGTTTAAATGGTATTTAGTAAAATCTTTCCCTCACCTAGGTCCCTTTCCCATCCAAGCATAACAGAGAATTAAAAGAGGAGTGGATAACAGTGATCCAAACATGAGTGAGTCTGCCAGGCCAACTCGAGCAGTCAGTGGGGCAACAACCACGTGTGCTGTATCCAGACGGATAGGGACATCTTCCGGTCCCTTCCCTTAGTCTCCCTCCGCGTCATCCTATGACCCACTAATTAGGACAAGAATACTCCTCTTTCAGTGTTACATGGCTTGCCACCTCTTAAAACCACATTGGACCAGAGTTACAGCTTTGGACTTTTAATCCACTCACATTGATGGGACAAGATGTTGTACATGAAGATGAGCAACATGTGATCTCTGTCCTCAAGGAGAGGCGCTCATGGTATCCCCAAGGGGTACACTGCCTCCCAGCCCCACATAGGGGTGGACAAAGTACAGCGCACTCTACAAAGGCCTTCAGATCCAAAGCAGATACCGCACTCACGAGGAGGTGTGAAGGCTCCCCAAAGTCAACTAAACGATTATTAAACTGATTTTTTTTCAGGTTACTTGAAATCACAATTTGCTTTGGACTGGCTGGATAATGTAGATCATGCTTAAATTTTTTACATATGGGTTTTTTGGTTGTTGAAAAAGAATTATGACAAACTATTTAAATGTTTTTATTTATAAATATCATGTGTATATATATATGTATATAGATATGTATATATTTTAGCTATTGATTTTTAAATGTATCTCCTTAATTGGCCTCTATTTTAAATAGACTGCTTTTGAAATTCTCAGGACCTGTATGGAATCTAATAGTTTAATGAAAAGTAAGTGATTCTTGGCTACGCAGCGCCACCTGCTGGACATGCAGAGGAACAAGCCCACCCAGCACTGAAGGGGATGATGATTCTTACACCTTGAATCAGCAAACAGGAACTCAGCCCCTCCCTTGTGCCAGGCAGTGGGCTGGTTATCTTCAAGAGACAGCTCCACACTCTCCAGGGGTCAGCTGCACCCTAAGTCTACCTAGGCTGTAGCTAAAGGACATCTGGGATTTGGAGTTAGAATGATTTGGGTGTGACTTTCAGATTTGCTTCACCCTTAAGTCAGCCTCTATGTTCTTAATTGTGGGTTTCAGTATCTTGGGATCTTGGGACAAGTATTAAACTTTACTGAGCTTGAGTTTTATTATCGAGAAAATAGGAATAATAACATCTAGGGCTTTTTGTGTAGTTTACCTGGAAAAATGCATGTTAACACACATTTTGCATACTGTTAAATATAACAGAAATGTAAGACTGTTAACATCATTTCTCCTTTCAGTTTCTGATAGGGAAAGCCCACATGGAAGGTAACATATGCTCTTTAAGTGAACTGAATTGTAAAGAAAAAAAGTTATAGCCTGAAACAACCATAAATTAAGCTCAGAAAAGAGAGGAAAATATTTTAAAATATAAGGTAAAGAACACATATACACCCCATGTGCATGCATTTTTTTCTGCCATTTAGTCCTTAATTCTCAAATTTGATTTTCTAAGAAATAAGGCAGAATAAAAAATATTATCACGATATCACCAAATAATCAGCCTGTAAACTAACTGAATCTCTCTTAAAACATGGCCGCATTTCAAAATAGGCTACAAATACCATTTTATTCTTAATATGGTTGAAACAATATTGGCTCAAATACTAACAACTATATAAAGGGGACTGCACTGTATAAACTTCAAATCAGTGTAATAAAAAGCAAAGAGAAAATTTCCAATGTAACAACAACAACAAGAAAAGAAAATGGAAAGTAATGGGGAAGCATTAAAAGAGGAAAAATAGGATGGCAGAAATATTGGACAAAAGCATGAAATGTGAAGAGGTTAAACTTACTAGATGACAAAGTCTTAAATGTTAATTAAAATTTTAAAATATATCTTTAGAATTTTTATGAGAACCATTCAAAATGAATTAAAAAATAAAGGAGTGAGAAAATAAACATTATATATACAAAAGGTATAAAGTGGTACAATAATCTGATAAGGAGATTATAAAATGAGTACTGAGTTAAAGTGAAAGATTATTTTATGTTGATAATTGATACTTTAGACAATAATTTAACTACAGTGAACTTTTATGTACTGAATAACAATACCAAGACACATAAGATACAATATCAAGAGACATAGAAGCGAATTACTAAAACCACAATAGTAGTTGGAAACTTAAATTTTTCTCTCTCAAACTTTGACAGAGAAAAAAAAAGATAAAAATGATCAAGGGATAGTAGCGGTTTTAACAGGATAGATTACCTAATGTATGGGCTTCCCTGGAGTTCAGACAGTTAAGAATCCACCTGCAATGTAGGAGACCTGGGTTTGATCCCTAGGTTGGGCAGATCCCCTGGAGAAGGGAATGGTTACCCACTCCAGTATTCTTGCCAGGAGAATTCCTAATGTATATATATCAAACTTAATACTGTGTCAAAGGAGATCACTCACATTTTTTTTGAATCTCCATGGAACATTTAAGAATATTCTAGGCCACAAAGAAAATACCTGCAAGTCCTTAAAATTAAAGATCAACCAATCAAAAAATGGGCCAAAGAACTCAACAGACATTTCTCCAAAGAAGACATACAGATGGCTAACAAACACATGAAAAGATGCTCAACATCACTCATTATCAGAGAAATGCAAATCAAAACCACAATGAGGTACCATTACACGCCAGTCAGGATGGCTGCTATCCAAAAGTCTACAAGCAATAAATGCTGGAGAGGGTGTGGAGAAAAGGGAACCCTCTTACACTGTTGGTGGGAATGCAAATTAGTACAGCCACTATGGAAAACAGTGTGGAGATTTCTTAAAAAGCTGGAAATAGAACTGCCATATGACCCAGCAATCCCACTTCTGGGCATACACACCGAGGAAACCAGATCTGAAAGAGACACGTGCACCCCAATGTTCATCGCAGCACTGTTTATAATAGCCAGGACATGGAAGCAACCTAGATGCCCATCAGCAGACGAATGGATGAGGAAGCTGTGGTACATATACACCATGGAATATTACTCAGCCATTAAAAAGAATTCATTTGAATCAGTTCTAATGAGATGGATGAAACTGGAGCCCATTATACAGAGCGAAGTAAGCCAGAAAGATAAAGACCATTACAGTATACTAACACATATATATGGAATTTAGAAAGATGGTAACGATAACCCTATATGCAAAACAGAAAAAGAGACTCAGATGTATAGAACAGACTTGTGGACTCTGGGAGAAGGCGAGGGTGGGATGTTTCAAGAGAACAGCATCGAAACATGTATATTATCTAGGGTGAAACAGATCACCAGCCCAGGTTGGGTGCATGAGACAAGTGCTCGGGCCTGGTGCACTGGGAAGACCCAGAGGGATCGGGTGGAGAGGGAGGTGGGAGGGGGGATCGGGATGGGGAACACATGTAAATCCATGGCTGATTCATGTCAATGTATGGCAAAAACCACTACAAT